GTGGCTGTGAGTCTGTGTGGCTGTGAGTATGTGTGGCTGTGAGTATCTGTGTGTGTCTGTGTATCTCGGTGTGTGTGTGTGTGTCTGTCAGTCTCTGTGTCTGTGAGTTTGGCTGTGAGTCTCTGTGTATCTGGCTGTGTGTCTGTGTGTCTGTGTGTCTGCATGTCTGTGTGTCTGTGAGTCTATGTGTGTGTGCGCGCGCCTGTCTGTGAATCTCTCTGTGAGTGTGTCTGTGAGTCTCTGTGTCTGTGAGTTTGGCTGTGAGTCTCTGTGTATCTGGCTGTGTGTCTGTGTGTCTGTGTGTGTGTGTGCGCGCCTGTCTGTGAGTCTCTCTGTGAGTGTGTCTGTGAGTCTCTGTGTCTGTGAGTCTCTCTGTGTCTGTGTGTCTGTGAGTCTGTCTGTGTGTCTGTGCGTGTCTGTGAGTCTGTCTGTGTGTATCTCTGTGTGTGTGTGTCTGTCTGTGAGTCTCTCTGTGTGTGTCTGTGAGTCAGTCTGTATGTCTCTGTGTGTGTCTGTCTGTGAGTCTCTATGTGTCTGTGAGTCTGTGTGCGGCTGCATGTGGGGGTGTCTCTGCCGGCAGAGGGGGTGTGTGTGTCTGTGTCTGTGTGTCTGTGTGTCTGTGTGTATCTCTGTGCACACCTGCACCCCAGGGCCGCTGCCAAACCCCTGCCTGCACACCTGGGGGGCCTTCAAACAGCCCCGACCCCCCTGTTTGCCACTGACACCCTCCTGTGCCCACCATCACCTGCCAGCAGCACTGGGTCATGGATCGGGTCCCCCGAGGGCCAGGACCCCCAGGACCCCCAGCAATGAGGGCACAAAGCTCTGAGGTGCTGCTTGCATGGGCTCCCTCCCAGCAGCACATATGGAGTCACGCCTCGCTACCCCCCCAACTGTCTGTGGGGACTTGGGGTCCCCTTGGGGGGTGATCAGGGTACAGTGGGGTGGCAGAAGCTCACCTAGCCAGATACTGGGGCTTTTGGGGATGCCATGGTTTGCCAGAGGCTAATCTGGCTGGATATGGGGTATTGGGGTGTCACGAGGTGGTCAAAGTCAGACACAGGGGGCTGCAAGGAGCTGGAGGCCAACCTGGATGGGTACAGGGTGCTTGGGCGACAGGGGCTGACAAGAGCTGACCCAGACAGATATGGGGTGTCGGGGTGCTGTGGGGTGGCCCCACTGGTTGTGGGGGTTCAGGGTGCTGCAGATCAACAGATGGTGATCCCCCAGATAGATTGGGACACCCAAATCCAAACCCCCTGGCTGTGGGGTGTCAGGGTGCTGTGGGGGTACAGCCAGGCAGTTACAGGGCTCCCACCCCCATCCTAGAGCTCCCTCCACAGCACCAGCTGCCAGCATCCCACCGCGCTCTTGAGTAGTTAATAAGTTGCAGAGGAGATTTTTGGAACAGGCAGGGAACAGGTAAGAGCAAGTCCGTGTCCAGCAACCACATTCCTGGGCAGAGGGGGGGCTGGAAATGCTGGCATTACCCCCAGCATGCAAAGACTGAGGGGGGACACAAGCACCCCACAGCCATAGGGCTGTGGCTGACACGTCTGAGGGGATTGCTCATGCCTTGGGATATTTTTCCTTTTGCCACTGCTAGCTCAGGTTGTCGGGGTGACGCTGCCGGGGTGGTTACGTGCACTATCTGCTTCCTTCAAGGCCACGAGACTTGTGCAGGATGAGTAAAGATCATTATCAGCCAGTCAGAGTATCCCTGACAGTGCTCCCGGCCCTGCACGGTGGGAGCAGGAGGGGGCTGGGCGGGGGTAGAACGTGCTCCCATGGTTCCTGCCAGGCCGGGAGCACCCGTGGGTCCCCTGGAACGGGGACACAAACCTCAGGGCACAGCGAAGGGGTTGCACTTTGCACGGTGATGCAAAAGTGCCCCGTGCTCACCGAACCCCAGTTAAACGTGAGCACTGATAACACTCTCCAGAAATCAGCCAAACCCTGACCTGCCAGTACCTCCAGGGAGGAAAGGTGAGCCCTTGGCATTTCCACGTCCCCAGAAAGGGGGTTGGCAGGTCAGAATGAGTCTGGTGGTTGTGTTTCCCGATACCTATCGCCCGAAACCAAGGGGATGGCCGTGGCAGGTGGCGTTTCTCCTCCTCCCGCCCTTCTCTGGTTACTCGTCGCCATCTCTGCAAACAAAGGGGAGGGTGTGGGACGCAGGTGACGGTGACGGAGGAGCGCAGAGGAGCGTCCAGCAGGCAGCACTGAAACCCCACCCCGGGCCGGCCGTATAAATGCCGCTGCGCACAGGTGAAAGCCGATCCCCACGGGCTGCGAGCGGCGGCGGGTGACGGCGACGGATTCGGTCCGTGGGTTCTTCTTTGCCATCGCTCGGAGCGTGTCACTGAACCGTCCACCATGTCCATGGGGCTGGAGATCGGCGGCGTGGCCTTGTCGGTGCTGGGGTGGTTGTGCAGCATCATCTGTTGCGCGTTGCCCATGTGGAGGGTGACGGCCTTCATCGGCAACAACATCGTGACGGCCCAGATCATCTGGGAAGGGCTGTGGATGAACTGCGTGGTGCAGAGCACGGGGCAGATGCAGTGCAAGGTCTACGACTCCATGCTGGCGCTGCCGCAGGACCTGCAGGCCGCCCGCGCCCTCCTGGTGGTGTCCATCGTCCTGGCCGTCATAGGCTTGATGGTGGCCATCGTGGGCGCCCAGTGCACCCGCTGCGTGGAGGACGAGAGCACCAAGGCCAAGATCACCATCGTCTCCGGCGTCATCTTCCTGCTCTCCGGCGTCATGACCCTCATCCCCGTGTGCTGGTCGGCCAACACCATCATCCGGGATTTCTACAACCCGCTGGTGATCGACGCACAGAAGCGGGAGCTGGGCACCTCGCTCTATGTGGGCTGGGCGGCCTCCGCGCTCCTGCTGCTGGGGGGGGCCCTGCTCTGCTGCTCCTGCCCCCCCAAAGAGGACAGGTACCCCACGGGCAAGGTGGCCTACTCCGCCCCGCGCTCCGCCGTCACCAGCTACGACAAGAGGAACTATGTCTGAGCCCCCCTCCCCGGGATCCCTCGGCACCCCCTACCCCACCCCACCCCACCCCACCCACCCACCCACCCACCCA